TCAAAAAATGTGAAAACAAACTATTGAAAATAAAATGTACATGTAACTAGGCTAGACAACAAATTTATGGAAAATTGAAAAGTATTCTTGGCGAGTTGGGGTTGATGATAGAATCTGCGGGAAAATGCCTAGTTTCTGATAGATTCTATCAGAAACTGGGCCTTTTCCCCGCCCTTTTCTATTAATTTAAGACTGCTATTTTGAGCAGCGTCCACGAATGCTCAAAAAGATCAGTATTTTAAGAGATAGCGACTTAATTGAGATTCCGTTTATTCGACCTAAAAAGTTCAATGAAAATTTCGATTTTTTCTTGAAAATCTACCCTTTCACAAAAAACTTAGATCCACTCCATACTTAATGCACTCCAAAAGGAGGTTAACATTAAGACCCCAAGAATTTTTATTGTAGTTTGATCTCTTCGTTGGGAGGTTACCTGCTTGGAAAACGATACAGTAAGAGATCCTGGAGTACTGGTCTGGTTTTTGATCAAGAAGAAAAATGAATAAGAATACATTTATCTCACATGAATGTTAAATAAACATTATGTAATATTAGCTTGCCACGCCAGTTGGCAAAGAAACGCCGTCTTCAAATTTCATTTCAGAGCCAACAAAGCTTCAAAGAAAATGTTGCGATTCTTTGCTTTCAAGAACAAACGCAATCAAGTCAAAGACATTTTAGAACCTATAGGTGATATCAGACCATATAATTATAGAAAATAGGACCACAATAATCTCAAGATACTCCAATCACTGATCGGCTGATCTTGTGGGCGTTTTGGCTTTAGTTACCAAAGGAGTAGCCTTTAAATACTCGCGAACTTGACCTAACTTCGGGCAATATAACTTTGTTGGCGTACCTTTAAGGAACTATTATCCGCAGAGATTGAACTTTGCGCACAAGCTAAATAAAATTCGCAACACAAGCAACCAGGATAACGCAAAAAAGGAAAATGTTCCAACATATTAAACGATAAGAAATAAAGGTAAAACAACACATATTCGCTTCGTTGGAGTAATAACAAACAAAAACGGGGATAGCTGGTTACTGTGGAAGTAGCACAGAATGTTCCGATTATAGTCTTTAAAAACTGCAAAAAAAAATGTGTTTTTTTTTTTCAAGTTAGTGTAGTTTTTCTGCGTGGTGTGATAAAAGGACCTGACGTAAGACTAAAATTTAAGGATATTTGACAGTAATAGTAGCAAAGGCAAAATGGACAATAGTTTTTGAAGAAAACTGACAAGAAAAAAATCAAAAAACATTCGAAAAAAAAACTTAAAACATTTTTCTTGAATTTTTTGCAAAAAGTTTTTGAACTTGGCACAAAATGGGACAAAAAAACTCCACAACCTTATTTTACATGCGCAAAACTAGGTTTTTAGGGCTTAAATTAATCATGAACAAGCTGTTGTAAGCCTGCTCGCTTGCTTTATTCGCTCGAAATTGGGAAAAAAAAGTTTTACACCAGGTTTTCTTAATAGTGAGAAAACCTTAAGAACAATTGTTAATGCGGTTTAATCACGAATAAAAAGGCTTTAATTTAGCATATCACTTGACTCATTCTGATGATTTTTTGTGGCACCTGATTTTTCGTGGAAAACAAAATTAACTAAGAACACACCCGAATACAAGTTCTTCCCCATTTTTCGATTAGTCAGAACAACAATGAAAAACCAAAAAAAAATAAACCTAGATTTTTGTGACTGGAACCCAGGAAAAAAGATTTTTTAACACTGCGTTGAAGCAGTGAAAAAAATCGACCTATCTGCGTACACCTATCAATAATTGTGTATTTGAAAACTAAAAGAAGCCAGAATTTCAAATAAAAAACATTCATAATAAATCGAAATCAGGTCTATGTATATTAAAATAAAACAAAATTAAAACAAGGCTAGCCAGTTGCTGAACATTTCAGGCCGAATTGATATTTTAGAAAAAATAATTTAAGCATGACGAGTTTTTTATATCGAGAAAACATTTTTCGCAATTTGTTCTGTCTAAATTTTGTATCTCAATTTAAAATTGCTATTTCTACTGTCTAAACTTCCTGTTATTTTTGCGATTGAATAAAAAAACAGCAATGCAAAAAATGGTAAATATAGTTACAAAACCATAAAAATAGCGTTTAAACTCTTGAAGAATTAAGTTGGGAGGCAAACCACATAGCAAGCTTTGTTTAATTTAGTCTGAAAACAATCAGACTAGTTTTTCTTGACACTCAGACAACTTTATAGAATCCGAATCACTATCAATGAGACTTTAAGATGATACCACACTTAACCCCTTATGAAATTCTCTAGAAATAATCAAAATTGACTAGAAAATTCAAAAAACGGATCCTAATCCATAGTTCTTTTGAGTGGTCGCAGAACAAAAGTATACAAAATTAGAGTAGTTATTCAAAAACGGAATTCAAAAAATTGAATTGATCTCAATTTTTCCAAAGAAAATATTTCCGTAGCTGTCATAGTTTTCTGCAAAGCAAGGCTAAAGAGAAAAGTTCAATTTAACATTTTAAATTAAAGCGTTTTTCCGATAATTAATTTTGGTGTAGTTCCATAATAGAACATACCTTTTCATTTTATTGACACAGCGTGGCGGCAATTAGTTCGTCCCCCCTTGTCGTTCAGCGTAAAAACTAAGAAAAGATAACAAAAATGACACAGAGGCAAAGCTGAGCTTCGCAACACATGCGATACAAACGAATATAAAAAACAGTGGAATTAAAATAGGTACGAAGTTTCCAAAAATGGAAAATTGACTACCTAGAAATTCTTTTTCACTACGTTTACCAAAGTTTACATCAATGTTTTATTGATGATCTGAATTTGCTACTTCTATCGTCACTCTAAACAACTCCATGGGCTTGCAAAAATGGCCAACAAAACAATGCGACAAAAAAATTTCAATAACTAAGAAGCTATCAATTGCATGAACAGCAACATATATATATATATATATATATATATATAAATACCTAGGACAAATTCATATAAATGGAAGAAAACATTCAGAAACTGATGAAGCCTCTCAGTCGAAAACCAGGAAATTGCAAATAGAATGCAGCAACATGAAAAATCATAAATTAAGAAGCTTTGATTAAGCGATTGAAAAAAATCGCTGAAACCTTATCAACAGTTCGCTGGATACAGGGTCATTAATCATTAGTGTAGCAGAAAAGGCCATTTGACATCTCAGCCCAAGAAACTATGAGCTTGCCATATATCTAATGGTTCCACATTTTAAAGCAATTCTTAGATCTTTTTAAATTGTTTGATTTTTGGAAAGTCTTTGGAAATTAATTTAAAATTTAGAGAAAATTCAGGAAATGCTCCTATATAAATAAATACATGAGCAAACACTCTTATTAATAAGATTTACCATTCGGAAACCGATGCAGCTCCTCAGTCGAAAACAAGGAAGCCCAGAAATTATCAAAAAAAAACATATCAAGAATCTATCGTTAGACATATACTAGGTTTGAACAAATATGTTAAGGACTTCAGACTAAATAAATTAAGCGATTGAAAAAAAGAAAGGAAAATAAATGAACGAGAATTGAGAGCGATTAAACTCAACAAAAAATCAAAAATATGGCCCGGCCGGGACTCGATCAATCCTTTGGCTGCCCAAACAGACGCTTCACCGCTTATGCAAAAGGACAGTACCTAATGGTTCATAAGAGAGCAGGCTCTGTTTCTTAGATATTGAAAGAAAAACTGCTTATTGGAAAAAAAAGTAGCTCACGATAATAAGGCACTTGTAAGCGCTCCCTTGTGTAATCAATTAAACCAGTAACTTCTCAGAGAAAAGATCCAAAAAAGCGTTCTTAAATTCCACTTATACTCTTAATTTGCTTAATTTTGTCTTCTTGCGATTCTTGATATCAGAGTATTGGCACTGCGCCTCAGACACCAATTTGAAAAAATCTAACAAAAATTTGAAAAAGTCTTAAGTCTAACAAGCGTTTCAATGGTTAATTATGTGCCATTCGCAACCTCGAACACTCCAACCCATAGCAACAACGGAATGAAAAACTGCTCGCTGAAACGAGACACGGTCATTTAGGCGTTTTGTTTGGTTCTTCCCATCAGAAGCTGCATAGAAAGGTAGTTTACTTAGGACTGGAATAGGGGGCTTTCCCACTTCTAGCGAACCTTGGGGTGCAAGTAGCCTAATTTGACACTTATAATAAAATAAATCAATCGAGAGCACTGCTATTCAGAGGAATCCAACAGGTCACAAAGTTTTCATGGAAAACGTCATGATTGTTTTACAAATGAATAACTAAACGAAGTTCTGCTCAAGTTTCAGCTCATTGTCTTTTTGCCTGACTCCTGGCTTCCGTGTAAAAAGCATAAATGTAGATTTGAGCAAAAGATTCGAATGCTTTATTGCAAAAAAAATTATTAAGAAATAGCAAACAGACAGTTGGAAAAGATATAATGAACGCAAAAAAGCAGGAAACAAATTGAACTTTCGAATTTCAAAAACATCTTCGAATTTCAAGACCAATTTATGATTGGCACTTTTTTGATAAAATTAACCCCAATTTGAGAAAACTGTATCAAGAGATAAAATTTTTATTCCCCTGTTAAATCTGAAAAAAAAAATTCCACTTTCGAAACTAGAAATCGATTGCGTTTTTTCGCGCCATTTCCTCTTTCGTATTTGGAGAGCGAATTTTGCCTGCCTTTTAGCAAATAAACTTAAATTGAACTCAAAAAGTGCCTATAGACCTAAGAGCGTTCATAAATGCATGAATATGAATGAATGCACTTTCTGTAGTTAGAGCATTTTAAGACTTTTCCTGAAAAAAAAATCAACACCACCTATATAAGAGTCTGAACTACGTTCATCGACTCTTAAATAAAAAACAATTTTATAGTTTGACAATCGATCTTAACAGCACATTTCTCCACGTTTCGACCTATGAGCTAACAGTTACTTTACAACTCTAAAAGTTAAAAGTTAAACAACTAAACAAAAGTATCCAAAAATAATTTACTTACATAACCTACAACTATTCACAATTATACAATTTATTAATCTAGATATTTCAAGTGAAAAAGTCCGAGTCATCTGAGTCTTGAGTTCCAGCTACATGTTTATCTCTTGGAGTTATTCCTAGCAAGTCCGTCACACTATTATTCCCCATATCATTGTTGAAATCATCCTCGTAATCCTCGTCGTCGTCATCTTCAATGTCTAGATCTCCGAAATCTTTCAAAGCGACAGGAATCGTCACTTTACTCTGACTCTGGTTTGGGGTTGCTGTTTTACTTTTCGGAGACGCCGTTCGATTAAGCGATGTGCGAACAGCCGACGAAATTTCAGTCAGTTTGTTTTTGTGTCTACTACCTGAAGACATAGTGATGGAACTTTCTTCTTCGCCTCCAGATGAGAAAAGTGAGTTTTCACTCTTGTCTAGGTTTGATTTCCCCGCGACTTTTCTTTTCGGTGAACCAGATTTGCTCTTATACAATTTTTTGTTGTCAGCTGTTATGGCAACATCAGCTTTTGACGCAGTAGTAGGTTGCGCGGCTATAACAAAAAACGAACTTAATTACCAATTAATTTAAACTCAAAGAAACAATTTTTCTAATTACGAAACATTAAAATTTACCATACCAGTTGAACAAGTCACCGTATAAACCAACAGTACTTAAGAGCTCTGCTGCTAATCGGAGGTCAGCCATTAAATAATATCATGGAAATATACCAGCCAATCACAAAGAAGCCTGAAGATAAAACTTAAAAAAATTATATCGTACCAGGTTTGATCTTCAACATGCCTTCCACTTCGTCTTCCTCGTCACTTATCGTTTTCCGACTGGCCGACTGCTTGTTGGGATCGCCTCCTCCGAAGGCACTTTTCAACAGCGACTGGTACGCATCCGAAGTCTTCTCGGCAGTTCCCGAGTGAATTGAGATGTCAAAATGGTCGTCCATAGACTGACTTGTGAACGGAAAACTATCCTCGTCATCGTCATCTTTCGAGGCATTTCGACTTACATTCTTAGAACCTTTGTCATTCAAATGGTTCTGAGCACCCGCAGCTAATTCTGCTTCAAAATTCTCGCTGTTAATCGAGCTCGAAGACTTAAAAATCGGCTTTCTGGGTGTCGAGCTTTTCATAGCCGAATTACTGTGGAAGCTCCTTGGAGTTGAAAACGAAGATATGGACGTTGCTTCTGACAAATCGTCCGCTTTTGCTGATTGGAGACATGCCTTTAAGGCTAATTGGAACACATACGTCAGCTTTTCTTCCATTGCTTCTGCAAATGATTTTGCAATTGAATCTAAATTTGAGGAGTTCTTGATGACCAAATACTTCAAATGATCTCGAATAAGGCAATAAACTTGTTTGTTTTCTGCATTAACTACAGAGTCAAGTTCATTGAATGTGTTCACATGTTTAACATCACTTCCCGGTTTGAATATCGAATGATTTTGCGTAAACACAGGCAAACTTTTGAGCACAACTTGGCAGCAGTTTTGTACCGATTCGCGTTCTATATTATTTTCATTCGCTTTGAGAATTATATCTTTTTCATCAAAATTATGAGAAACCTGACTATATAATTCATCTCTTGGAGATAATTGATCCGTTGCGAAATCTTCGATTCTATGGAGCAAGCTTTGCAGACCTTTGAATGTTAGAGCAGCTTCCTTTTTGGGGCTTTCAATTTCATTTTTCCGTTCTGACTTTTCTTTCTCGTCAAAAAACTCATTTTTCTCATCGGATGAGCGTCTTTCAGCAAAACTTCGGTCACTTTCATTTCTTTCTAAGATAGTATCTGTATCTTTGGAACCGTCATAAAAATCGAACAGTGATTCTTTTTTCGATAGTATATTTTTCGGACTGAAAAACTCAACGGGACTAGGCTCTTTGCGAGGTTCTTCAAAGCCTCTACTCGGTTGATAATTATCAGGTTTTCTTTGAAATCTATCACGTGACGTTCTAAACTCATCGTCTTCCACGCTTTTGGTCCGAGCTGATTCGAAATCATCGGGAGTATCATTTCTGATATCTTTATTTAGATCACTATGGCTTCCAGAGTCAAAGTCATCGTCTTTGTAGAACTCCGTGACTTGGACAAGCTCGTTGAACCTTGGCGACTTTCCTTTCTTGGGACTACTTTTTGGCGACTTCTGAGACGTTTGACTGATTTCGAACATATCAGAGCCGTTTGATTGGTTTAGCTTTAGTGCCATATTCTGCTGAACAAGATCGTCTGTAACACTTGGTTCTTTTGCCATCGTCTTTTGAACCTTTCCTGCGGACTGAGGTCTAGGAGATACATGGACGTTGCTACTTGGATCCCGTTTTCCCTGCTCCGCCCAATATCTCGCAGCCCTTTCAGGGTCTTCGCTTCTCCACCTTTCGTAAGCCTCCTTGGCATAATCAATCATATTATTTTTCAGTGACTGCAAGTAATCGCATTCGTCCGCAACTGAATCAAGTCTGAGTAGCAGACGGTCCACTTGCCTCATGATCTCCCGATTCTCTTCTATTTTAGTCTTAGATTCTCTCACATTCTTCTTCAGACGTTCGATTCCTGATTCGTCTTCCGTAAGTGACGACTGAGCCTCTATTCTAGCTTTCGAAATCGTTTGCTCGACGTCCAGACGTTGTCGCTCTAGCTCAGCTAGCCTCTCATAAATTCTTTTTTGCTTCTCGTAATACTCTGTTGATGGTGCTAACATTATAATCTGGAGAAAGTACTATCTTTAAGGTATAATAACGATAAATCAGATAACTTTCAAAAAAAGTAAAATCCTCAACCAAAGCGTAATAATGATGCACAACGAAAAGTACATAATTTCATGGGTTATCAATCTCGATTACTGTATTTTGAATTTAACAGCTTCAGAAAAAAAAAATATGGTCCAAAAATAATTTAGAAGCTGCTATTTGGAATTTTTAGACAACGGATCAAAAAGCTACGCAAGACAAAAAGCACTATGCACAGTAAAAAAATCAACATAGCCGAATCAATCTTCAGGAAAGCGCTGAATGATCCTTCAATAAGTGTGTTTTTAGCAAAACTATGTTAGTTTAAAAAGCGAACACTTCAAACCCATTTTTCACCACACAGAAAACTTTTCATATGTCACTTGAAGCACAACTGAAAAATCTTTAATATGATATATCACTCGGCCCGCTCCCGTAGTTAATCGTGGTATCCAAGTTTGCACGGACAACTTCGCACTATTTCCGATACTACACAAACGTAGCATGGAACACTAGCCAACATAAAATTATACGAAAACTGCGCAGAAAAAAAATGAAAATATCGATTAACTGATTCTGTGAAAATTTGTTTGTCTCAATTTGCATTGAAATAAGTTAAGTTTGAGAAAAAATATGCCAACTATGAATGTGAAAACAGCATAGGAAAAAAAACTAAGCAAGTGGTAACTATTTGAGCAGACAAACTGAGTTTTCATAACCTCCCGCTCAAAAAAAGAGAAGCTATTTTTAGATAACCCTCACTCAGTGTTACTGAATATTTTTTTGGGCAAAACAAAAAAGATAGCAAAAAAACCCAAATATAGTTAATACAGAAGTGAATCCGAACAAGACATACAAAAGAAAAAAAGAATAAAAATGGCTGAAAACAAATTTCTGAAATGTTCTCATTTTTTTCCAGATTTTTTTTTAATATTTCATGTTTTTATTCTCAGAATGGCACTTGAAAAAACTTGGCAAATAATTTAACTGGAGTAAAAATAAGGTTTCAGGCCTTGAATTAAAGGTTACTGTCTTATCCTTCTATGAGCCTACTCGCTCGCGTTTGTCGCTCGAAAAAACGACAAAGTCAGAAATTTCTGACCCGTTGTTCTCGACACTCGAGAAAACTTTCCAATGTCGTTCGAATCAAGACTGTATTTTTTAGTTTGCTATGCTGATGCGGCAAGAAATACGTTATTTCAAAAATTGGACATAGCTAAAACATTAGTTGCTTCTCTGCTAAAATAAATGAGAAACAATTTTGAGATTTTGGAGTTTTGTAAGACATAACATTTGAAAGACATAACATTTCTCTAGCAAAAACTCAGGAGTAGCCGCTTCTGCAGGAAAAATTTGCGCAACCGCTTGTTTCGATTCAAATTTTGATCTCATATTTGAAAGAGTAGTTTACAAGAACATTAAAAAAATTTCTAACAAACGACCAAAGTTTAAAAACTTGACTTTCGGAAATCTGCAACTTTTTTTTCTGGTAAAAGCAGGTCGTGACTGTTAAAATAGAGAAGATTCCCAAATCGTGTTTCTCGATTAAACACTTAACCTGAGAATTAGCACGGTAATTTTCGAGTAAAGTTATAAAAATCCAAAAACCGTCAAGTTTCAAATTTTTCAATTGTTTGAATGCTATAACTTTTTCTTAAAGAAAATGGTTGTAGAAAATTATAAAAGTAACCTGTTGTGTCGATTAAACTTATGATATCAAATTTGGCAGGAGAATCATAGGCAGGAGACATTTCCGAGAATCATAGCTTCTTGATTGAAAAATTTGGGTGTAGCCACTTATGCCGAAGAGATTCACCCAAAATGTCATTTCAATTGAACCCAAAAACCCGGGTTTGGCAGGGTAGTTCTCGAGAAAAGTCAAAAAGTTTCAAACAACGGTTAGAAAAAATCAAATTTTTGACTTTTTTAATGACCATTATTTTAAATTTTTCAATATGTCAAAAACTGGGGCGTAGTCGCGTATGCGAAGGAGGTTCCCACAACCCGTTCTTTGGATTGAACCGAAAATATAAGATATGGGAGGGTACTTTTTGGTAAAAGTAACAAAAAAACGCTCTAAAAATCAATAATTGACTTTTCCGACGGCAATCACTTTTTGTGTAAAAAAAAACTGTGAGTGGTCATTAATGCAGAAACTTCGCACAAATCTTCATCTCCATTGAGCCTACAACCTCTGATTTGAGAGGTTAGTTTTCGAGAAAAGTCAAAAAGATTAATAAACAAGTAAAAAAAATCCACTATTCCGAGGGCCATAATTTTATGTCTCAAAAAACTTAACGCCTAGCCACTCATAAAGGGTGGCTTCTCAAATCCGGTTTAATCAATGAAACCAAAAGCTCAGATTTCGTAGGTTAGTTTTTGAGAAAAAGAAAGAAACATCAAAAATATCGGTCAAATAATCCCCCCAAAGACTAATTCGAAGGCTGTAGACAAAGGAGTGAAACAAAAAGATACAAGTAAATGCAGGCACAAACGAGTACAAGAGGTATTTCTATAGATAATATTTTTTGAAAACCGGCATGCAAAAAAGTAAGATTTTCCAAAGCGTCTCAAAAAAAATAGAACAAAGCCCAATCTCATATATTTTCATAATACCTGTTTTAATCAAACAGTAATTCCCGGCAAACATGCCAAGCAAGGCAAAATCAAAAAAAGACACTGAACAAAAATTACGAAGCGGAAACAAGGCCGACAGCCTTTGAGCAGACACCAGTTGAGCCCAAAAGAAAATTTTGTAAAAAAAACTTTTTAAAAAATTCAGTTCCCATGAAACTACCCTGTAGTAACTAGTACCCACCCAGTAGTTAACTTTGTATTTTCATGAAATTTAGCTTGTCCGCTACATAGTATTATCAAAATCGCCTATATGATTAAGAGTAATCGAACTTGAATAAGTGATTCAACTAATTTTGTAAAACTAGTTGTTAACAGGAAAAAAAATCTACATTCCGATTTCATAACGCTTGCTAATCGCCAGCGTAATATTATATCAAACATTTAAAGCAAAATAAAAGAATAATGCGAAACAGGTACTGGTCAGATTCAAATCGTGATTATAGCAAAAGTGCCACCAAATAAGTGAACACTTTCCACTTCCAATGCGCACTTTTATTTACGAGTTAGGTTAGAAAAAAAGTTTCGTGCTAATACACTACGCTGATTGCTAATGTAATTAATTATGAAACAAGTTACCATCAGAGATGAGTTCAGAAGAGTCCTGTGAACAAAGTTATTTACGGGAAAAAAGTCTAGTACCTGATTGAATACCCTTGCTTATGGCAAGAGTAATGAAAAGAGACGTGACATGATACTAGATTCAACTTTCCACTATTTTTCTTTGATGTGATTATAATAGCGCAAGAGAAACCCGCCCTAACCGATAGTTTTCTTCCCGTTTTTGAGAGTGGTCCACCGAATGATAAAACGGACCACGAAAAAAACAATAATTTCAGGAAATATCTAAAACCTACACTCAAGCTGCAATGCTCATAGAAGAGATTCAATTTGGTCAGAGCTACTAGAATAAAAAGAAATATCTCCACTGTCGAAAAAAGCTAGCACTAACTGCACAGAATGAAAACTTTCTACTGCTGATAAATCTAAGCTTGGATTCTCGTTAACATCAAATATTTGAAGTACAAAATCGGGCCTTCCTTTTGAATTGCGAGAATATTTTCTGTCTCTGTTATAAACACTGTAAACTGGACAATTTTGCTGACTTTTTTCCGTTTTCACGCTTTGAGAATTTTTCAAAACTGACTTCAGACAGTCGTCTGCCGAATAAAATAAATTGTCGTCAAGTAAATTGGGTTTTTCCAAATTTAAAAGCGATTCTTCGTTTGAGTTCCAGGAATCACTTTGTGGAAGAAATTTCAATAGTTTATAGGGATAAAAATTTCTTCTGTTTAATTTTAAACGAGAAACGGATGATTTCCATTCTGAAAAGAATAAACATTCTGTGAAAAACGCTTCATTGGCATTTAATTTTGGCCACCAATTACAACCAAGCCGAGTATCATTTTCCGGTATCTGATCTCGCGTATCTACCTTCTCCGAGGAGCTATTTAAATAGTCAAATAGTACACTATCACTGGAATAATTATCAAGGTCATCGATAAATTGATGATAATTTGAATCCAAGATCAAATCACTCATATCAAATGGCTTCAAATTGAAACCGAGATTTCTAAGATAACTGTAAACAAAGTAACAATGGGGCTTAACCGATAGCTCGGAAAATAACTCGGCAAAGGAAAAGCTTTTTGATTCGGAAGCAACTTTCAAATGGCCCAATTCACAGTAATATAGAGCTTCCTCTTCATAAAGAACGACATTCTCTATTTCTCTGCAATAATATCCAACAGCATTGAAAACTTTCTGGTTCTTGCAAGCTTTTAAAACTATTCTGCCAGAATCGCAAATCTCGGCGGCGGATATATTCAATTTTTGAACAATTTTATCGCTCACAGATCCATAATGCTCTGTTAAAGTTTCTGTGCAGCACTTATCCATTTATCCTTTCATCTACATACAAAAACGATATCTGAAAAAAAATCACAAGAGATGATATCGCCGTTCAAAAAAAAATGTTTTCAGTAGCTACTTACAGCATCTCACTAAAAGCTAAAGCACTTCGTCGTAAAACAAATTATTGGGCTGAAAATAAATTAGAGGCCATGGACAAGTAATTCAACAAGAGCTTTCAACAATTGGAATCAAATTGAAGTTCATGACCTTTGTCAAATTTTCTGCTTCATTTCTTGGCGCTTTTGTTTATCTCAGCCAATTTCTTTCTGATAATCGCAGTTCGCTGAAAAAAAAATTAAATAGTAAAAAAATTTTATAAAAATTCTATGTCATACTACTATGTTTCAATTTCAGGTAGATATTTTACCTTCTTTTTGATGTAGGCGCACTTGAACCTGTCGTAGTCAGTCATGTTTTCACGCTGAAAATAATTTCAGTGAATTATTGGTCTTAAGCACAATTTTTTCAATGAACTCACAGAAAAGTTGATTAAGTTTCAAATCATATCACTAATTTTTTCTTCAAAACTAGGTACAATTATGACACAGGGGTCCCTGTAAAACCAAGTGTGACAGAAGGTTCCCATGTCATACTAACTGTAAGCAAATACAGCTGTTAATTAAATTATTCGACGTCGCTCGATCATTTTGAACACTTTTTTCAAATTCAACTAACCTATCTAATTTACGCTATATTATTCCATGCTTCGTAATATCAACGCCGAAACAATTAATTGAATCAGGCTGAGGCACTAATTATATTAACGCCGGTTAGATTCTTGGAACGCCTCTATCACACTTGTACCGAAAATTCGCAGCTGGATTGCGAGAACGCTAAATACCTTAATTTTCTTCTGCCAAGCTTCGTAAAATTTGGTGGCCTGGAACTTCTCCTGAATTTTGCACTCCTTGTATTTGTCAGTAACAACTTTGGAGTGCGCACTCCATTGGAATCCTTCCACAATCAGCTTTGTCAGCCTTAAAGTCTTGAAGGCGATCGAAGCCCTGGCAATTAGTCGCACTTCCTTTCCATGGGGATGGAAGATGTCACAAATTGCTCTTCGCTGGTCGACGACATTCACAATCACAGCTAATTTATTCTTGTATCTCTTCTGCTGAATTAGAGCAACTCGTCCAACTTCGACGAAGACCTTGAGAAAAACTAGTTCAACTATTTTCAAACGAAGAGAACTAAAATTTTATTCGAAAACGAAGTATTACCTTGTTATCGGAGGAATCTGCTTCAGCTGACATCTTGACCTGAAGTTGCATAAAATTTTAAAATGAAGTTGAATTAACTATACAAGCAACAGTCACCGGTCAATGAGTAGAATGGTCCAAGAGCAGAAAGGGTCTAAGAGCAGAAAAACAAAGAAATATTGAACTATACGAGCTTTTCGATAAAAACAAGTTTTAGAACCCTCAATATGGTGGCGTGTCACGGAGCCGAATACCTGGATAGCCGAAAAATAAATTACTTCTGGGATGGCCAAAAAATAAATTCGTTCCCGGATAGCCGATAATTAGGATCTACTTAACAATTACCCCCCGCCCTTACCAATTCCTTAATGGGAGGGGGAGTAGATTCGTTACTAGGTACCATAGGGATACCATAATATCCTACCCCTCCATAGTTAAAGAGATCCTACACACTTACTTGAAAAACATTGTTTTCTCATTTGGGGTACCTATAGGGTTGTGCGGACTTACTTACTAGCAAGTAAGTTACTAGTAAATATACTAGTAACTTACTAGTAAGTAAAATAAAGCTTATTCCTAGTAAGTTGAACCAAAATGAATTTTTTGAAAGAAATGAGGCTCAATTATCAGTCGAAAGAGCAGATAAACTGTTTTCATATACTGCAACGCTGCTTTACTTGATAAAACTGACCATAAGGATTATTTAGTTGATTTTGAGGAAAATGAATGGTCTTGAAAACTACCAAGACCCTGAGTTTTTGAAACTTACTAGTAAGTAAAAGTAAGTTACTTGTAAAAAAGTGGTAACTAACTAGTAACTTACTAGTAAACGAATTTTACTTACTAGTAACTGCACAACCCTAGGTACCTAGGATTTTCTCGGAAGGGGGAGACAGATGTTCAAAAAAACAGGCCAAAAAGGCAGTTTTGGTGATTTTTTGAAAAATTTTGATTAAAAAGTTGCGTTTTTCAGCGCGTGCTGGTGGTCCTCTTTAAAATTAGTTTGTTGAAAAATTTTGGTGTTTGTCGGCCGAAAATGGATATCTTAAAAAATACCAAAGAGGGACACTCTGGTTGGTGAGGAGGTCGAATCCCGGTAGCAGTTGGGCTTTTGTTGTTAATTAATTCAATGAGAATAAAAGTATTAGCCAATCAAATCTCGTATAAATGTTCGGAATTTTGTTAGCTAACAGGCTGCAAAACTTTGGTTACATGTCAGTATTTAGACAGCCGCGTATTCATACTGGTCAGTATTTAGACAAACACTGTTTCAACCAATCAGAATCGAGACAAAGAAGAAATTAATAAATAATTATTATTTATTTTGGATTATTTATGTTTTTTCTCGATTCTGATTGGTTCATACAGTATTTGTCTAAATACTGACCAGTATGAATACGCGGCTGTCTAAATACTGGCTGCACTCCAAAACTTTGAAGCACTTTTTTGTCCAATCAAAATGCGCCTCAATTTAGTGAAGAGTTTTCTGGTTTAATTTAATTAAAATCGGATGTATTCAGTTTTTTTCGGCTATCCGGGATGCGGCTCCGTGGGTACGCACCCTCAATATTACCACTGAAAAATGGATTATATTACAAGCCCAAGTAAAAACAAGAATCTATATTTTGTTTTTAAGAACTCATTGGGTTCATATTTGAAAAGAGTAAAAGAAATTTGATTTTTCTTTTCAAAACTAGGAAATATAAACCCAGATGAGTGTTTATAATCAGTGAGAGGTGACTTCTACGAGAAATTTGATTTTTCTTTTCAAAACTAGGAAATATAAACCCAGATGAGTGTTTATAATTACACAACTATTATTGTTTAAGATATTCTATGATGCAAAATACTTTATGTGAATATAAGTACATATGACATACACTTTCTGTCTTGAAATACAATTAATGATTTCATTTCGTATCCAAAAATCAAAAATGTAACAAAATAGATAGCGGTACGATTGAATTAAAGATTATTAAAACAAAATTTTCCGTTGTGCAATCGGGAAAAAAATGAACCAGTTTCTGTGGCAAAAACAAAAACAACAATTTATAATTTGTTTGAAGGATCCATTTTCTATTTAAAACGCGTAACACTCAACGGTTTTACAAGATGCTCTCACTGTCAGGTCAGTGAGATGTCACTTCCACGAAAAGCTGGATTTTTCTTTTCGGTATCTAGGAAAATAGGAACTTGAGAATGCGTTAAACTTGTGAATACAACATTTTCGCACATTTTTGTGCAGCTTCAAGTTTTAAAATTCTAAAATAATATGAACAAAATGATCAAAGATCATAGAAAAAAATTCCAAGGATTTAGACTGGAATGTGATAAAGGGACTCCTGACACCCTGAAAAAACTCAGTTTTGTGCCACACGAAATCTGAGGGATGAAAACCCTTGGACAATACTCCTAAAGCCTATATACTAATTTAAGAAATTTAAAATGTTAATTCAAACGTTTTCGCACATTTTGTGCATCATCAATACTAAAAAAAATTTTTCCAATATTTACAAAACGATCTAAGATCTGAAAAATGAGAAACATGTCTAAAAATGCTCTCAAATGTATTGACCAATCAAATTTGAACAACTGTATTTACATGATCATAACGTAACCATTAAAAACATTTTCCTGGAAGTTTCAGGGATTTTTTTGTTCTTTCATGCTAATAAAATTTCGATTTGGGAACCTTTTTGCTTCTGACATATCAGTTTTTAAACTTTTAGCCATGTTCTATACTAATACTACTATTATATAATACTACTGCTATGATACTTTTGACCTTCTGATTATATCTACAGAGGGAGTGAAAAAAAAAAGATACAAAAGATCATGAGAAGTACCCTACACGTCATTCATTCGAAACTTAAGCAATTAAATTGAGAACACGTTAAAATGGTAGATTCAAACGAACGTTTTCGCACATTTTAGGTTCGTGCATCTTTAGGTTTTGAAAATCTAAACTACCCGAACAAAATGATCAAAGAGCATAAAAAAGTCACACACGTCATTCTTTCAAATTTCAAAAATTTTAACCAATCCTAATTCAAAATTTTTAAAATAATGTAACAAATGTTAAGTAAATGTAACATTCGCCCGGAAGATACATATCGACGGATAACAAAACTAAGTCTTAAGACGACTGGCTAGCGTCTAAACAGAGCTTTGCATGTTTTTCACCGTCTCTACCAAGCCAGTACTTTTCGGTGGTCTTTCTTACATCAGGCTGACAAAAACGTTACTGTTCTCCGGCTTCGACCAGAACGCTCAAATTAACTAGATTACATGCAAAAATAGTGAGCTCATGGCTGGGTCTCAGTATCCCCAGACCACGAGGTCACTCCTAAAAACAGGGCTACTACTTATTATATTACTATTGTTTTTGTTCAGTAGATAAAAATCATCATCTCCATCGAAGATGGATCAACCCTTTCCCCTCTACTCCTAGCACCTCATCCTTGTCAAAACTAATCAAAATATCAGTTAAATTCAAGTCAGGACATGACAGGATGCTAAAATTCAATATAAGTTCATAAAAGTCCACGTCCCGAGACCCTTCCGGATTCTTGAATCCGGTGAATCAAGCTTCTTAATATCCAGTTCACAATAACTCGGAAGGCTGGGTTTTACCCTTCACCGTTGCTCGCAACGGCCTTGCAACTATTGTAACAGCACAATAGTTGCAACTCGGAACGTCCTCTGCTGTTCGGTAGTTCGTTGTTGTTTTTTTTAGTCTCGATTTCGTACTGTTCGTAATCGCAGATAAAAATTGTTCTGTTCCTTTCTGCTATTTTAGCTAAAATGGCCGTCTCTGACGTTTCTCAGAAATATGACGTCATAATTCGAATTTTTAAAAATTAGAATTCCAGAATCTTCTAGCCTTCACCGTTTGGCTAATCGTTCAAATAACGTCCTTATCCGTTCTAAATCGCCAACTCGGAAGGCTTGCTGCTAAAATACCGAATTCTGCAGAGACTGCATTTTGGCCATTCTGGTCGAATGTCACATACTCCCCGGACAGTCCGGTCAATGTCCTCATTGAATCGCGCAATGTTCTAAGTGGTTACAGTGTCATCGAACAGAATTTACAAAATGCACGAAATTACTTTTACCTACGTCGCATCGACTCACTGCAGAATATAAATGGCATCATCCTACATCACTATAGCCTTCAAATTCTTTCATTAATCTGCACATTGAGGATATGACTTAAGATAAAACATATTTTCTGACTTCCAGTGTCAATATCCCGATTGAAACTTTTTCTCCTAGATTTAAAAGGTGTTGGCTTGCAGGACAGTCCTGCCAACCAACAAGCTAAAATTATCCTACTATGCTCCTTCCCTTTGGAAATCTTGCTTGTTTATTGTCCTGAATATTAAAACTAAGGAACTTTGTGGTTAGAAAGAACAATGCAACAACCTCCCTCCTCAAGGAGTTACTCAAGTTTTTCATGTCACCACAAAGTGATCAGCCTTCCTAAGTGATTAAAAACAATCATGCAGGCTGGAATATTTAAATATACTCTTCCCTCAAGCCTTTCTAAATAAATAATAAGTGAGTGTCTCTAAAGCCACTTCAACTAAAACCAAAATGCAAATTTATAAATGCAACAATTTCCAAACTCAACTCAAATGTTTCAGTTTTCAATTACAACTTGGTTGCTTGGTTTCTCACTTGAGTTTTTCACACACATAAAACAATTCTGAGTTTTAACTTTTCTTCATCATCCCTTTGTTCTCTTCTTTTTTCGTCGTTTAGAAGTTCTAAAACTTCTAAATTCTTCTAATTTTCTTTCTTGTTGCCTCTTGTTTTCTCGACCATTCATCAATGCTCCATTTCCTCCTCCTGTGACGCTGACTCTGCACTCTCGGTCTCCGTGTCTTGTAGCACGTCATTGACTATCCTGACGCTGTTGGAAGCCGTCCTCCAACACTTCTGCTCTTCCACCCTCTGTTTACAGCAAGGTAGGGGATCCACGTTTGATTCTCTGTTTCTACAGAAGCTGTTGTGGAGACACAACGTCACGTTTCTCTCCAAATCTTCTTTCAGCATCT